ACTAGATGATAACATGGTTGTTTGTTTTTGGGATGTACCCTTCCTCTAACGCTAATTGTTGATGTATGAAAATGTAGCAACAAGATTATGAACTGTATTCTTCGAGGAATACTCTGTTCAACGGGTACGAACATGGATGTTTAGTGATTTTGGACCGAATAGTAATTGTGTTCGTAAATTTTGTCTATACATCATTAATAAGAAGAATATTCTCTCTCACATTAAATGGTGCCTCTCTTTCCTTTTTATAGGAAATCTGAGGTCTTTGTTACAATCCTTCTTTGGATTTTTCATTTGCATTTTTGTTTTCGAGATAATCTAAAGGTATTATGGCAGCATTAAATGCTTAGTACTTTGTTACCTTAATCCCGATACAGATGAGGACTTCAGCCAGCGACACATGTCCCAATCGACTTGACACCGTAGGATCACGAATTCCCGTGTCCCATCATCATCAATGAATATCGTACAAATACTCCAATGATATGATTCACGCTAATCGAGTATTTGTCCATATTTATTCGTCCGAACCCACTACGAGGTGATGGTAATTCATATTCATCTTGCATGTTTGGACTGTTTCCTCTCTTCTATCATTAGTAAGTATGGACACAAACAAATTATCTTCGATTCGGTACGGATCCCATTCGGTTGGCACCCCATGTTAGTGTTATATAATGAAAGCTTGACTTTGGATGATATTATACTTTTACCCTTTATGAATGAGAAACATGTTAGATTAAACAAGTTCTACGTTCTGTTGTTTTGCATTAGATAGTGTGGGTCATCATCGGGCGAACCGAAGATCATACTATCAGTTACTCGCGAAACAAGAATAATTAGTTCACAACCCAGATGGACATGAACGCCCCATCGTGAACGGTTGTAGTGTCAACCGTACAGTTTGTCTTGACTGATTAGTTGCACTAGTACGTTTATGTATTGAACAGGATCCCAAAGAGGAGCAATTCGTTTTATACTGATCGTCGTAAATGAACTCGGCCTCGGTTAATTACTACGTAATATTAATCCGTAAGATATTAAACAGGCATATATGTGTAATACTTATTACTTTGATTCACATGGGTGAGGCTTAGTGAACTGGACCAATAGACCCGCTGTCTTGGGTAATATTGTTGCATGTATGATGTGTTGTTAGGATATTTACGGTCACCATGTGCGTTAGTTTGATGATGTCCCCGGAGTGAGTTCATGAAGGATTATTATGCTAAATCCTGCAGGTGGATTAAATTTCAGCATAGTAATAATGTGATGAACGAGCGCTAGCTTCGGTGAAATAATAATAAATTAATTAATTCTTGATTGTCAGTAATCGAATTAATTAATGGACATTATATCTTAAACATGGGGAGATAAATCGAGTAATTTTTATTGGAGTCTCAATTGTAAATTGGGCTAGGAAAATGGAGTGCGATAATATTATGTTGGTGGCCTATTTAATATTATTTAATTAATTAAAATAAGTGGCTTGGTCCACAAGTATTTTAATTAATTAAGGAGCCCTAATCCTAATCTCCTAAGGGTCCCTACTGTAGCTCTATATATACATCATTAAGCTCATGAGAAGAGAATTGAATTCCTAATACATGCCTAAACTGTCGCCCCATATTCTCTCTCAGTTCTTGTCGAGCTTTATCTTCTTCTTGTTGTTCTACCGGTATAAGATTAAGAGGTGCTGAGACATACAGTAGAAGATTTGTATGTAAACCGAGATGAAATATATATTATCGTACAAAACTAACCGGACATCCGATCAAGACGTGCAACATACCGGACGACCGTCTCGACGAGAGCTTTCTAATGCCGCCGAGATCGCCGCCATCCGACACCGCACGCGCCCTCACGCGCTGCCGCAAGCTTTCAGGACTGAAACTTGTCTTCTTCCGTTTTTGCACCCATTTGATCCAGTTTTCGATCCGATCTTGTTCGTGCAATCCTAGGACGGGATTTGCAGTCTATTTCTCATTGGTGTGTTGTGTACGGACATTCAGAAGATCAGCCAGATCGCCATAAATTGTAAGTCGTAAGTTCTCTACGCAAACCTTTAGATCCGCTGCGCATAGGTTTACGTTTTGCTATTGAATTCGTGATTTGTACATAACGAGATTCTCATAGATTTCAACACCCCATACAATAATATTAAGGATAGTGTGATTGAGTTAAATTTTGAGTTAAAGTGAGTAACAAAACTGATTTTGATTATTTTTGACTCCTTACCGATCACCCTCTTAGCTTCCAATCTCACCCTTAGCGATCTTGGACTGTTGTGGTTGTTGTAGACGATGTGGAGCTTGTGGGAGCATTTGTGGACGTGAGTCCATCAAAAAGAGAGAGAGAGAGAGAGAGAGAGAGAGAGAGAGAGAGAGAGGTATTTAGTTCCATGTAATTTTTCATTTTATGTTGTAATTTGTGTTGAGTCACCTTCGATAGTTTATTCTCTTATCATTTTGCATTTTCTTAAGTTTTCAACTAGACCCCCTGATATTGTATAGAGAGTTCGGGCTTGAACAGGGGTCCTTGAGTAGCTCGGTTATAGACCAGACCCCATTAGCTCGACTTAGGTAAAGCTAGTTGATGTGTCACTACCTTGATCTAGGTAGATTCAGTTGAGAAGAGCTCCGATCCGCTTGAACCGCCACAGCAGACCTGCAAAAAATCAACGTCAGGAGGTGTTCCCGGCGAAGAGCCTTAGATGCTTAAGTCAGCACAAGTAAGAAGATAAAGCTCTATAATCTAGAGCTATAATGTATGTAAAGTGTGTAAAATGTGGATGAAGGGAGAGTTTGGGTTGTACTTCAGTCTCCTTTTATAAAGAAAAATACCAGCCCGAGCTGCCCGAGATTTCATCATATCTCTTTCTTATTCATGTTTGGGTCATCATCAAATTTCTTCTTATCCATTCATTACCCCTAGGTCATAGTTCTACAGAACTAAACTCTTTGTAGGTTTCGCATGGAGCATAACACTTCACACCTAGTCACAAAGACCTCCTCATACTTAGTCACTGAGACCTCCTCACACTTTGTCACAGAGACCTTCTCATACTTAGTCACTGAGACCGCCTTATACATAGTCACTGAGACCTCCTTATACATAGTCACAGAGACCTCTTTGTACTTAGTCTCATCAGAACACCTCGACCTCTACTTAGTCTCCTCAGACTACTTCAAACATATGTCGCCCTTTCCTTCAAGTCTCGCGTAGACGTCTTTATACTTTGACTCCGGTCCACTATGCGGGCTATATCACCAGTTGAGCATGTCGATTAGGTTGAGTGGGCTACGTAAAACCTCTCTGGGGCGTTAGGTTGGTTTATTGACCTAGGATGAGGCTCGAGGTAATCGAGTTGGTGTATTTAAAAGACTTGAGCTGTTTGACAAAGAGACCTTGGGTGGACCTAGATAAGATATGGAGTTCTTGGTTAGTAAGGTAAACTTGGGAAACAAAATATTATTAGACAACAAGATAAGATATTCTTGTGCAATAAGGTAATTATTTCATATATAAGGACTGCGATATGGCTATACGGAGCTTCTTATTCTTTTTATGCTCTCTGAATTACAATCATGCACACTTTTCCATATTCTAAAGACTAACTTGAGCTTCAAAAGGTCTATGTCGGGAACCTTCCCGATGCTTTTCTATATTTTCAGTGAAAATGTCGAGAACGATTTGTAGATACAAAGAAGGTTGGTTGACCCAAAATCAGAGTTATTTAGTAGATCACTGTTACCCCAAGCATCATTTTTTTATTTACTCCAAATATATATGTTGTGCTTTATTACTATTTTTTGCCTTTTCTGTTTTGTCTTTTATTGTCGAGCTCCAACAAGTTTGTGGCGAAGGCTTTGAAGAGGAAATAATTTTGCATGGTGAAGGGGACGGTGGGAATCTATAAGAATGACACTGAGATGGGAGGAGAATTGGGATAGGCAAATTGGAGGGCATATGGGGCCAGAGGACGACATGGATAGACGAAGCTGAAGGGCGCAACAATGAGGATGACGCGATGATTATTTATTATTGCCATGAAAAAATCTGACAACCAAATATGTTTTGTTTAAGCAAATCTTTTTTTTTTTTAACTTGGTCTGTAACGTGAGCTCGAGCTCAATAAGCCTTGTACAATGCAAATTGGCTCGACCGAACTTGAGAACAAGGCAAAATGTGTTTGAGGACAAGATAAAATCTTGAATTGAGTTGATTTTTAACAAGTATTAATAGACTTCATTTAAAAAATGTGGGTATATTTTAGACGCCCAACGAACATTCATACCTACGATGAACAAGCGCTTGAACTTAACCAATTGGTTAATATAAACATATTCAATTTTGGCCGATCTCGAGTCTGAGCTTTAACTTGAGAGGCTGGCGAGCAAACTCCCTAGACGAGACCACTCAAACATCTCAAATTAAATTCCATGAGAGCCCATAGTAAATTCCCATCAGTTTATCCAGTTGCCAACTCGAGTTACAATTAATCAGAGTAATATAACTGCGTATGAATCAAAATAACGTTTTGAGTTGAATAAGATCAACTAGTGAACAAAACCAATTAAACTTCCTTTAATCAAACTCAAAAATAGAAAATCACTCTAAAAAACAACAGAAATACTCCCAATATCGTCGAAGGTGGACTACAAATTTTTCCTTTGTTTATAACACCACCTGCAGTTTATGCATAAAAAACAACACAGTAAAAAAAATTACTTTGATATATGCTAGTAAATAAATCAACTGTAGATGGTAAGTACTTAATTTCATTTTTAACCCACTTTGTATTTTTCTTTAATAATAATACAATAATTTGATATTCATTAAACTTAATACACAAACTTATCAAAATATTAGTAGAAGAAAAGTCAATTTGGTAAAGCTAATGGACTGATTTTATTTGGTAGAGTTTATGTGCCAACTTGCGAAATGAAAATATTTTTATGATTTTAACAATTTTTGTGTATGATTAAAATAATTTTTTGCTACTGATGTAAATTTAGTAATTTACCGCAATCTCTAGTCGTATTGAGCGTGGTAGAGCAAATGCAGACGAAGCCTAGGGTCTCAACATCGAAGCCGCAGGTACCACCCGACCTTGCGCACCGCTCGCATCCCATCTCCGGCAAGTTGTACGTCAACTTAATCCCGTACATCCAGTCCAGTGGACCAACTCCGGCCAGCCCGTCCACGTTGTACACGCTCGTGTAGTGCGTGCAGTCCAGGATGTCCAGTGCCATGAACCTCAGCGTGTCGTACCTCGTGAAGCAGCACGGCGGCGACGGCGCGGTGGCGTTGGCGTTGGCGTTGGCGTTGGATAGGACGCGGAAGAGCTTGAAGGAGGTGCAGGCGGTGTAGAGCTCGTCGCACGAGTGGCCAGAGAAGTTGAAGCAGAGGGATCTGTAGTGGTTGAGCACGGGGGAGTCGGCGGAGCAGTTGACGAGGGCGAAGACGGTGTCGGGCGACGGCGGGATTGTGGCGTACTGGATCTCGGTCAGGGAGAAGTCGCGGCGGGGCTGGAGGATGGAGCAGGTGGACATGGAGGGGTCGAACACGACCACTGACTGCCGCCGGTAGTCGATTGCCTGGACCTTGTAGGAGCCGGAGGGGGTTAGGAAGAAGAGGCCCGCGGCGGAGCAGTTGAGCGCGCGGCGGAACTGGGCGGCGCCGCAGCCGTCGTCGACGGCGAAGGGGTAATTTACGGGGATGTTGTTGCAGAAGCTTCGACAGAGTACGGCGGCTGCTGCTGGAGATATGAAGAGGAGGGCTGCGGCTGCGAGTATCATCCACGGTGAGTTGATTGGAAGGGTCATTTGAATTTTTGAATTCTGGTTTTGTTTGTGTTTTTCTCTTTTGATCTTTACAGGTTTACAGCATAGAAAAAGCAGAGGAATTTTTTAGTGTGTCTTTTGGAGAAAAAAAGGTTCATTTGCTGCTTTTGAGGAATTTGTAAAGGCATGTGGTGTTTTGATTTGGGGGGTCCAATGCCACCGTAGATTGCTCCATGTTTGAGGTGCTTTTTTTGACTATTTGCACACACACACACACACACACACACACACACACACAAACACAGGCTTATGAGTTGCTTGGGATACTCCAAACATAGATTTGAAAATTTTCGCAAGTTGTCTTGTCCCACAGATATTCATACTTTATTCGAAGTCGAAATTTTGTCTCAATGAGAAATGGTTTTGGGTAGAATTTGATAATGTGGTGTTGGATTTGAATGTGTGTTTTGCCCGTTATGAAATAATGCATCTTTTTTCTGCCGAAATGAAACTGTCCAGCGAACCTTTCTCGAATGACTTTCTTATCGAATACCGTCTTGCCTGTATTTATTTCTTCTTCTCTGTATAGTTAATGTAAGTCTGCACAATACGTACATACTTTCATACTCAAATGTCATACTTCAAAATAGAATATGAACAAAAGTGTAGCATTTCATAATATAAATGTATAGTTTTGGTAAAATGGTATGGTTGTCTAATGGTGCCTAAACATTTTAATTCACAGAATATGATGGGTCGACCATTCTTAATGGTTCGGCCGAGGCCCACACGGGAATTTGTGTTTCTAAATATAAAATAGAGTGAACTAAACAAAGAGTTGATCGTGTATGACCGAGTTTATTTTCTTTGCTACCTTCACAAGTGTGTTATATTTGGTTAATAAATGTTTAAATAAAATATTTGGAGTGAAGTAAATATAGAGTTGATCGGATATGACCGAGTTTGTTTTCTTTGCTATCTTCACGAGTGTGTTATGTTCGGTTATCTGCTACGTTTGAAATTGAGTTCTTGCTGGAGAATGTGTGACATATTGTGAATGTAGTACTGTAATAGTACTAACTTCCTTTTGCTGGCTTTTGTTTCCTCAACCCTTAAAATTTACATGCATTAATGCTAAACAACAATATTATCGTTATTCATAGTTACGTCCATCGTATTCATAGTTACGTCTCATTAGAAAGTGAAACATATACAGCAACATCATCCAATATATAGCTTGTGTATTGAACATCAAAAAAGCTTCATTTGTCATTGTGGGATATGTTCGTCACAATATGACTGCAGTGAAATTTATCGAGGTTTCATTCACGACCCTGTATACCAACTTTGATGATTTCAGATCAAATTTCCCCAAATACTGGATACATTGATTTTCTTATTGATGAAATGGCAAAGCAAACTTGTTTGGGGAGTGTTTTTCAAGAATGTCTGCGTATGAAAGAACTGATTTACCGAACTTATTGCGTTTCGTTTTATCTTTTTCAGAGACTTTTCGTGGAAGCGATTTTGAGACATGGCGTGAGATTGTCCAACTTTAGAAACTTATATTAGTTGCCATTTTTGCTTCTGCTGTTCGGTTGAGGAGGCACACTACATGAAATGGGAATTTGGAGAAAAACGAACAAAACGGAGAACATTATTTTTGTTATTTGATTCTTAACATTGAATTCATACAACAAGTGTAGTAAATATATAAATCAAGTAAATTGTAATAGAGATTTCCCTTCTTCATGTCACTTCTGTTATTCATGCCCAAGATTTACAATTTACTAGTACAGTGCCCGTGTGATGCACGAGGAATTTATTATCTATTTTATTAATGGTTTGCATTTAAATTGTCTCCTAACATTGAAAATATCATGAAAATAAAATTTGTGTATTATTGAGCACTTCCTTATGTACAATATTTTTGCTTTGATTTTATGACACATAAAATATCACATGGGTGTCGAATTTTATCTACAATTGCGTATTATTAGTTATTAGTTCACAAATTACATTTTTTTTTAAATTATGGATCTTATTTATTTAAAAAAAAATAGTAGGAAAAAAGTGGAGATTTTTAGGAATTTTCATACCATTTTTTTTTAAATCTAATTCAAAACTTTGATTAAGAAAAACAAAAAAGTATCATTAGTTTTTCTTAAAAATGCACAGGATTTTATACCAATACACCAATTTTTTTACCAAACAATTTATTGATCCGAATATTCGGTTAAAACAAAATAAAAATTATCATCAATTATTCCTAAGAATGTAATCGAATTTTTCTAACATTACACCGATTTTCTTACCAAACAAGATTGAATTGAAATTAATTCTAATAAAACATCATGATATTTTCTTGAGATTTACGCAATTGTTTCTATCCTAAGAAATTTGATATGAACTTCACAAAAACTGATACGAACTTATCAAAATCTCGGTATAATATGGTTAAGAAAATAATAAAAAAAAAGAATCCAAAAAAACCGTTGCATTCAAATTTTGAAATGTTTTACAGGATTGTAAAAGTTGCACACAATATCGAAATTGATTTGAATTTTTTTCCTAAATAATTGAATAAGGTTTGAGTCTAACATCAAAGATGAATCGACTTTTTACAAAAAAATTTGGATACGATTTTGAATGTATATCCCGTCTAAATTTTAATTTCGTCTTAAAATAAAAATTGCACGTAGTTTTATCCAATTTGCACGTATTTTTTGAAAGAAAAATTGTTACAAAAAGGTTGGAAGATTTTTTTTTTTAAAAAAAATATACAACTATTTATTTCCTAAATTTGTATCCAATTTGCATGGTTTTAAAATTAATTTGTATTTAGATTTGTTTTCATAAATAATCAACATGTTTTTGGTATAAGAATCTCTAAATTTGTTGAGATTCAGATTTTGGTAAAAAAAAAAATGAAAAAATGATACAAAAAAATAGGATTCATATTTTAGCATAAGAATTTCCAAAATTGTTATGAAAAAAATAAGATTAGATTTTGTTACTAAAAATTCACATGTGTTTTATTTGAAATTTTCACTAATTGTAAGTCAGACTATTTATTTTTTCTTCAAAGTTACTAAAAATAATTTTACCAGCAACATTTTTATATTAGTATAGATATATAGATAGATGTTTATATGGAGCAACAAATATAGATGAATAAAACAAAGTACTAAGAAATGAAGTTATGGCCGAAAAATTGGTAATTTTTTAAAAAGATTCAGTTAATTTATATAGATCAAAATAAAATTTCGAATTCATTTTTTTCCTGTTATTAAAAGTTTTCTATTTTTATTTAAAAAGTTGGGCACGAGTTATTCCTAATTTATAGGCTTTTTTTTCTTCTAAATGGTATATCATATGTTTTCGTTGGTTTTTTTGAATATATCTTGTTTTAGGAATATGCAGGAATCTTTATTTGGATGTATTCAATTAAGGCTTTTAAGAACTTTTTAAGACTTTTTAAGTGAGTGACTTTGCTAGATTTTGTGAATTTTTTAATACTTTGGTGGACATTTGAGACTTTTATAACAAAATCACACCAATTTGATAAGATTTCTGTTGAGACTTCGTCTTTATGATTTTATAAAAAAAAAGTCTCCAGAAGTCTTACAATTTAAAATATATTATAAAGTCTTTCTACTTTGAATGCCGGGTGACTTATTGTCACTCTTTAGAAACTTTCGATTGAATATACTGAGACTTTTAGAGATTTATAAAAAGTCTTTAAAAGTCTAATTTTTTATAAAAAAGTCTTTAAAAATCTAAATTGAATACATGCAGACTTTTTAGAAGTCCCAAATAAATTTAGTTGAATACACCAATATTTTAAAAAGTCTTAAAACGTCTTATTTGAATACATTCTCTTTTAATGTGGTTAATCTTTTTAATGATATATATCGACATGTATCGAAGAGGCTCCTACAAAGTAAGATGTTGATTTCCCAATTCAGTTAGACGAACGTTTCATTTTGATACGAAAAATCAACATTGTAATTGCTTTCTTTTT